ACAGTTCCTGTGGGTCACAACCCACAGGTTGAGAACCACTGTCCTAGACTCAAGTAATCCTCCTGGCTCAGCCTTCTGAGTAGCTGGGACTATAGAGGCATGCACCACCACAGCCAGCTAGTTTTTTTCATTCTTTTTAGAGATGAGGTCTCATTATGTTGCCCAGGCTGATTTTGAATTCCTGGCTTCAAACAATCTTCCTGCCTCAGCCTCCCAAAATGCTGGGATTAAAGGAGTGTGTCACCACTCCTGGCCCCTTATTTTCTCTTATAAATGTTTTTATATTATCTACATTTTCTAAAATGAGGACGTATTCCTTTTGTAGTCAGAAAAAAAAAGTCATAAAAGGAAAAAAAAGCTGCTTTTCTTAGAGTACTCCTTAGGTACAAATATTGCCTTCCTTCCCCAAAACCACCTTCATCAACCCTTTCTGAGGATAGAGGTGATGGAAGGACACGAATAAGCACAACAAAGAATCAGAATTCTGCCCTTTTCAACTTTGCACCTCAGTACTGGAAGGAAGAGCATATAGGCAAACTAAGTTTTGTGCTTTAGTGGTAAAAGAAGTAAAAACATTAGAAATAAGGGAAAGAAGGCTCGGTGCCTGTAGCTCAAGAGGCTAAGGAGCCAAACACATACACCAGAGCTGGTGGGTTCAAATCCAGCCTGGGCCTTCTAAACAACAATGCAACTATAACTATTAAATAGCCAGGCATTGTGGCGGGCGCCTGTAGTCCCAGCTGCCGTGTTACCCCGAAAATAAGACACTGTCTTATATTTATTTTTTCTCAAGAAGATACACTAGGGCTTATTTTCAGGGGATGTCTTCCTCTCCATGCCAAAATGCATGGCATAGCTATGCAGCATATCTGCATAGCCATGCCCATCACTAGGTCTTATTATCGGGGTAGGGCTTATATTTAACAAATGCATAGAAATCCTGCTAGGGCTTATTTTTTGTGTAGGTCTTATTTTTGGGAAAACACAGTACTTGGGAGGCTGAGGCAAGAGAATTGCTTAAGCCCAGGAGATAGAGGTTGCTGTGAGCTGTGATGCCACAGCACTCTACCCAGGGCCACAGCTTGAGGCTCTGTCTCAACAACAACAAAAAAAGAAAATATTTAGGCATAGTTGAGAAATGAGTATTTGAAAGACTAGCTCTGATGTATAAACACAATGTGAATGCCTAACCTATTCACTTCTTCATCCCTTCTTCAACTGTTTATTGGGACCCACCTGTTCTGGACTCCGGGTATTCTTATATTTTAGCAGATAAATAATGAACAACTACACAAGCAAGTTTGGAGAGTAGCAGATACCATGAAGAACTAAAGCAGGAAGGTGTGACGGGTATACCAGGGGGAAACACTAGGTAGGAGGTTCAGAGATGGTCCCCCAAAGAGGTGGCATCTGAGCTGAGACCCAAATGACAAGGAGGCAGCCCATGAAGATCTGTGAACAAGCATTTCAGGTTGAGGGAATATAAATTAAATCTTTGTTACCAGCTACTCAAATGGTCTAGTCGCTTTAAATAACTGAGAGTTATAATACATTTACTGAAATTTTCCTATAAATAATTACTGAGCTCCTATAAAAAAACTAGGTGCCTTTGAATACCATGTTCTCTTCTGGTAGGAATGGCATTCAAAAGGAAGTTGGCATCTAACTCCACCTCCTCAAAAGTCCTCATTATGAAGCATTTTATAATGAATATTTCTTCTAAGTCTGGATAGAATGATGCCAAATTCTAGCAGCAACAGAAATTGGAGTTGTTTCTCAGAAATAGGTGTCCTGTACTCTTGCATGATAAGTATGACCTTTCTATCTCTTTTTGTTCAGGGAGGCCTAAACAAAGGGACCCTGAGAACCTTTGATATCTATTGCTGCTCAGCAAACATCACCAGCTACACCGCATCTCCAAGCTTCAGTGTCCTCCTCAGCAAAGTGGAGATAACGCACCAACCTCACAGGGTGGTTATGAGAGCTGAATGAGATAAAAGTACATAGGAAGCCCTTGGGACAGTCTGGCCTCTGTTGCTGTCATCAACACAGAGGCCTGGGTCCTAAGCTCTCCCTCATCCCCTTACATCAAGCTTCTGTATTTTACTACAGGATTAAAAAACTGTGCTCTATGTTTTCTGAAGAGCTTTCACAGCAAATGGGCAGCACACATCTGAGATTACCCTTGCAGGTTGCTCCTAAATGAGGAATCGCAGCAAACTCCCCAACAGCCTCTGGATGCAACGAGACAGAGTTGGTGGCATAAGGATTTACACCATGCTCCCCACTGACCAGATGCTTTTTCTTTGAGTGATGGCCCAATCATACCACCTAAACCAGCTCACCTCCAACACAGTGCTCAGCCAAGGGCTCGAAGAGGTCAAATGTTGACGTGGCTCCATCTGACATGGTGATGAACTTCCGGTGCCCGTAAGGGTGTGGTGACCTCACCCTTCCCATCTTCCCATACAAGGCCGTCTGGATGTGTCCACTTTTCCCCCAGATCAATGGTGGAATGTACCTAAGAAAGAAGGGGAGAAGTCAATTTTCTCCACATTCCTTGAATAATGCTCTAAAAAGCCTTTGAAACAGTCTTTCAATCTATTCTTTTCCTGACACGTTTTGTACGTGAAGCATAAACATGTAGGTTTTTTTATTACCTTAAATCCATGCCATAATTTATCCCCTTTCTCCACTTATTAATATATCTTACAGCAGATGAGCCTTAGAAATCAACTAAGACATACTTATATAGAGAATATTTCAACTGAGGGTTTTAAGTAATTCAACATGGGTTATTTCCACAATAACAAATAAAAAGAAAGTGATACATTTCAAAACACTCTTACTTCACAGGGTTAGCCTCATTATCAAATGTATAGGAAACAGGAAACAGCCAGCACAGCACCTGCACAGCCCCCGATCTCACTGAATGCTCACTTCTTTTTCCTCCCCTAAGACACTCCACAACTTAATGGTTACTCTCTGAGCCTAAAGCGCTGCTCTTAGTCACATGGGGGAAGGGCTGCCAACTCCTCTAAGAACCTGTAAGTGCCTGGGGGTTAGGGGAACAACGTATATGCTCTGGAGAATGTGCTAGAAGGGGCGGAGCAATGTAAATATTTGTTGGATTAATGAAGGATAAAGGCTTGTTAGCTCAAGCACAAGGCCTGATGGCTCCCTAACAACTGTTCTTTGCAAAAACATGGAGTAATTCTGCACTTGGTAGGAAGTGTAGAATTCCTAAACTAGTTAATTACTGGAAAAAGAAGGTATTCCAAGTTACAATTAAGAAATGATTATGGTTTACAACCACGGTACAAGATGATCTTGTTTATGCAAACTGCTGTTGGTTTCTCTTCCATGGGTTTTAGCCCAAGCTTGACGGTTAGCCAGGATTTGTGTCCTACATAGACAAAAGTCATATAATATAAAACAATAATGACATCAATCCTTCAACTCTGTGTTATATTACAGTGATGAGTGTTTTTGTTTTGCTTCTTTTTTCCCCTTGGAGGCATCCATCCATCAGTGGCTGAGTGCATTATTAATAATATACTTTGGGGCTCGGCGCCTATAGCTCAACCGGCTAAGGCGCCAGCCACGTACACCTAAGGTGGCGGGTTCGAATCCCCAGCCCGG